ACTTGACATATATTTATCATACATATAATAATATTTTCTTTACATTAGTGTTAAATTTATTTCGATATCTTTTCAATATCTATTGAAATTCGAAAAAGATAAATTTGATCTCATGATGCATGTAGCATAAAATATATAATCGGACACAAGATAAACGATAAAATATCAATTAAAATTTCTTGCAATATTATTTAAATATAAATTACAATTGAATAAATTAATATTAAAATTTCTTTGTTAATTTAGTAATTTACAATTAAATGCGCTTTGATGAAAGCATATAGATTATATTTGATAAGATTCAATGTGAGAGTAAACATATGATATTGGCAGAGGCTTAGCATATAGTTTTATCTTTTTAATAACATCTATTCTAAGAGCAATTTTTCTTTATCAAAATTTCAAAGAATTTTATCTCATCATAAGGTAAGTGATGAAAATATTAACTGAAATTTTACATCTCTCGTAGCATATTATTTGAATGTAAATTACTATTGAACGGAGAACTTGGTTGTCGCAAGATGTTAATTATTGCGATATACACGAGATTGTTAATGCTCGCTTGGTTTTTGTATTTATTCAAAAATATTCGGGATAACGGTGCACTACGTAATTCATTGTCGACATTGTTGCGAAAATAAAATGTCAAAACAAATTATGCAACTTATACAAAGGAAATACACGTGCAGACATTTTTCAGGTATAAAACAATATATACTTCACGTTCGATCGAATCTATTATGCTAATATACGCAGCGCCAAGTTGCGTAAACGGACAATAAGCGCGCGTGCGAACGTCATAATACCCGACACATGTTCGGCATAGAGATCTCCCTTAGATTCATCCGACGCTATTTATTATAACGTGAAGGAAGAGGAGGTGACACCCTTGTACACCTCGTCCCGGCTTATATTGCAATACAAAGGCTGTATACGACGAGGCAATAAGCAGATTGATATAGTGAAGCGATTTTATGGTACACGGTCTCCAATGCGCGGCCCTAGGCTCCGGCCATCACTCAACGGGCCCGAGAGCTCGTCGAGAGCAAAGAAACGCACTCAAACTGGTTCCCTGGATAGATCGTGATTTCGAGGCCGCTTCGAATCGGCGAATCGCTCGCGTTTGACGTCGGATCTGTCGGATTACCCAATTCTTTATGCATCCGCGTGTCAAATATTTATGACAGTGTTCCCGATTGAGTCGTTAGGAGGGAGGAAGGAGACCATCATGCACACGGTAGCCTCGTTATCGAATGTGTAGTCTATTTGGAGTTGCTCCGATTTAACTCGTCCAAGAACGAATTAAGCGTCAATGAAGATTGATCTTTGTTCGATACGAACTTTATGTCGAGGTGTGATAATTTACCGCTTATTTGGATGAAGATTGATGATTATCTCATCCAGATTCCTCTTCTTCGGAGACTTTTTTGAGATTTTTTCTCGCATTCCAAGCGGCCTTGAATGAGTCTGTCAATGACCACGTGCTGATTTTATCATGAGCAAGCAAGGCGTGTACTTCGTACATATCTTGTTTTGAGTGAATTAAAATTGTTTTACCTTGCTCGCTGACAAAATAATTTCACTCTCGGCTTATCGTTTCGCACTGTGGGATTGCTCGACCCACGTCGAGCTTTGCCACACGCTTCCCAGTGACTTTCTAGAAATTAATGGAGCATTGTATTTAATACAGAATGATGGATTACTTCGTGGAAAACGGATCGGATCGGCAAGAGACATTCGCAATAATCGAATAAGGTAAAATTATCGAGTGGCGAGACGATAAAAACATTAACATTGACATTAAATATTGCGAGCTCATAACTCCATTTTATCGCCGATCATGTCCCGCGATAATTTCAATGAGCGGAAATGCGCGGTGATGTCAGAAGTCGGTGGTGCGGTTGTGAGATCAGAAAAGGATCGCACTCAGGTCCGACAACAAATATCGCGTTGGAGTATTAACGCGGCCGCCGTTGATTATCGTGCCATTACCGTACAACGTCATTACGTTGAACGGGGCAACATATTTACCGCGACATGGCAGTATATCAATCCGCGGTAATATTGCCCATGCGCAACAGGTTGAACTGAAGTTGAGCAGATGCACCTTATCGCTAATATCTCCTGTAAGCGCAGACGTGCTGGCTCGTCCTCGAGGATAGGTGGGTTTTCTCGAGCGTCACTAAATTGCAGCATCGCGCTCTCCGGAGAAATTAATATTTCTCAGCTCGCGTACTTTATATATCTCGGGGATCCTAACGACTCCTTGACACCGACATCTATCGCAAAGTTGTTTCTTATCGTTTGTAAAAAAAAAAAACATTCTTGATAGCTGCTTTAATCTTAAATTATATATCACGGTGTGAGAAAATTATCGTTTATCTTTTGCCTGACATTAAATTTTTTGTTTCCACCCATAACGATCTCTTGACACCTACTTATGCTTCTCGCGAATTTGTCTGTTATCGATCATAACAAAAGACGGATACGTATAATAACGAGCGACGTGGGCTTGAAAGGGATTAACGTTACGAGTCAACCCCGACAGGGAACCGTGATCGACCGAGATCGGGAAGCGGTATCGTAAATCATGTAACCCAATTCAATAAAGCAGACTGCTCTTTCCCTCTAACCGTTGCCAGCAGGTACAACCTGAAGAAATCTCGAATGTGTCCATAACTCAGCACTCTCTCTCTCTGTCCTTTGGAAACCATCTCATGCCTCACGATCACGAATTCGAATATAGAACTTATTCTACACGGACTTTCTTCTTTCCCTCTTCTTGCTTTTTCTCGACGCCCGGCTTCTTTCACTTTTCGCTATACAATATATCCACTAATCGTGAGGTCTACACTACACGCGTCTCTGCTGTCGGATTCGTAGAACAACATTATCGCGAGCTCGCGTGTGTCGAGTATCTTGTGCGTGTCGATGGCGCAACTGTAAATTCAAAGCGTCTCTGCGAAAGTCGGGAGAACCGAAGCAATCGACGTGAGATACGCCAATTGTTCCCGTTCGTTTCCGATGCAAGATTAGCGCGCGCGCAACGGACACACTTCAACTTTAATTCCGTCTTTTGTGGAACAAAGCCAGTCTAATTGCTCTCTCCGCTCGCCAATATCTTTTCGACTGCAAATCACTTGTCAATCCAAACTGATCGCTGAATCGGCGCCGATTTTTATCCTAAGTCAACAACTTTATATATATGAAAGAAAAAAATCGAAGCACAATTGAAATGACTGTCTGCGCGAAAATAGATTAGGCAATGTTCGGCCGATATACGGTTTATAGAAAGTGAATATGTGTTTATACGAGCCGCCCATACGTTCGTGCATATGACATTCACGCCAATACCGATCTTTCGAAACAATTGGAAAGGAAAGAAAAAAGCGTAAAGAGAGAAAGAAAGGAAGAGAACGAGGTGAACGCCATGATCACGTGGAAGTGGGAACGTCGTTTTGCGCTCTGTGCCTGACAGCAGGAGAGTCTCTCGGGTTAAGAGCTTAAATCATTGGGTAACAACGACGATATCGACGATGGTGACGATCGACGAGACCGTAGATAGACTCGGATCTCTGCATCGATCACTCGTGAGAAGAGATCGATACAACGGTCGATGTGTGCGGATGTAGAGGAGAGTCGGCGTTTGTTGCGCGAGGGAAAATATATGGCCCATGCGGCGCAGTGACATGTGAGAGAACACTTCCTTCGCAAACGCGAACCATTATGATCGTAAATACGTGTGTTATTATAAGCATCGCGATGCGACTCCGAAGCATTATTGTCCATTTTTTTTCTTCATTTCCGCATACATGTCGAATGACTTTATAATACTAGCTTTAAACCCGCACTGTACGCGCGGAAGTACATCAACAATAATTTTTTTTAATATTACACAATTTTAATAATTGTAATTATAATACATCAATCATAGGTATCCGCAGGATTTTTTCCAGGGAGGCTCACGATTAAATTTTTTTTGTTTTTTATTATTTTTTGTTAATTTTTTGAATTCATTTTTAATTATTTTTGTTATTTTAGTATTTTTATAATAAATTAGATAATACAAGCGCGCGTTTCGCGCGCGTCATTATCCGGTTTTACATAATATGGTATGTGTGTGTGTGAGATTTAACTTTTTAATAATTGTAATTTTATTTAATTATATTTTGACAACTGTTAACCCTCTCAACAGCTGCTCAATGCTATGAATCTAACGCATAACAACGCAAATCGAGACAGCCAATCAGTATGGCAGAAAAGCCACAACAATGTCAATAACATGCCTTTTTTAAAAAAGGGAATTATTAATACACTACTTCCTCGATACATACAACTGTCAAAATATGCAATGACAGTCGCTCACGAAGTAAACGCAATGACAGAACCAATCGGCATCGTGGAAAAGAGGCAACGATTCATTTCGAGACTTTCGAGAGACTTCGATACACGCGAGAATCGACTTTAACATGCCTTTTTCATATAAGGGACTAGGGCCGGTATTCACAGTTGGTTCTTATATTTAAGATCGTCTTAAGACCTCGTTCAACTCAATCAAATGGCGGCACAGCATCTCTTGATTGGTTGAATGAGGTTTTAAGACGATCTTAAATATAAGAACAGACTATGACAACACAAGCGCGCGTTGCGGGCGCGCCATTCTTGAATTTTATACTAAAAAATTGATATTAAAACAATTAATAAAATTTGAACTCTATTAATTTTTTGACAGAAATCAGCTAACAACTGTTAAAAAATATGAATCAAATTTAAATAATATATATTATTAAAACAAATTAAATAATATAATATTAAGGTAAGGCTCTCTATATTGATAAAAACTTTGAAATTAGATAATTAAATAATTAATAAATTAAATAATTATTAAAATACTTTATTAATAATTAATTAATATGTTTAATATGTTAAAGCAGGTTTCAAAATATGAGAAAACGTCAACGAAATATAATGATCCTCAGTATGATAAGAAATTTCGAAAAAATACATGTCAATACTTAACATAATGATATGTAAATCGAGATCTAAAATGTAGAAAAATTAATTATAGCTTTTATGGTTAAAACTAATTAAAAAATGTAGAACTACATAGAACTCGTCGTATGGTCTTTAAAATATTCCGCGCAAGCTATAAAAATAATAGATAAAATTTTCTTTAATTATTTGATATATTCCTTTTCATCGTTTTTACTATAGCCAACTACATTGCTATAAAATATGTACTTGCAAAATTATAAGAACATTTACTGATCCTATTGCGACTGTAACAAAATCAGCATTAATGTCAGGATTTCAATAATATTTCTTTGCATTTTAGAATTAAAATCTAACTATAGTGCACCTTAACTATTTTATAATCCTCTATTATTAGTTTTCATCTTAAAGGCGTACAGTAGAATGGAAATTCTTGTCCATTCTGCATTTCGTTTTCTGCGCATGACAAAAATTTTTGTAGGACCTTATAGTGGGGAGGAACACAAGACTTTTAGGTAAATATTCTAGAAAAGGAGTAGCCAGAGTGTGGAAAACGTTTCTAGTGTCTATAAAACCATGTGCTTTCTGAAAATGGCTAGCACATGTATACGAGCATTACCTTAATAAATTTTGTGTGCTTCGAAAAACCAAGAATTAATTACGCAAATAATAAATTGCAATTATTTTCATTTAAATTACTTTCTTGTGATTTGTTCTACTCATAATGGCAAACACGATAACGACCTTACCAGAGGAAATGATAACCATCATTCTCAGCTATAATGATATTACTATTGAGGATATCATTAGTTTTAGATGCGTGTGCAAGCGATTTCAGTATGCAGTTACATATGAAAAGTTTATGGAAAGAAAGTTTCTTCAAAGGTAATTTTTTTTATAAGCTTTTTGTAATTTTCTTTCATTAATGTGTTGCACAATGTATATAATTTCGGCATATTTTATAAAAATAAAATAAATAAAAATAATTAAAAATACAATAAATGTAAAAAAAAACATGATAAAACGAAAATTTCAATTATATCTATGTAAAAGACAGATTAAAAATAAAGTAGAAAGTAGCGTGCCTTTAGTAAATCTACAAATTGATTTTCTCAATTGCTCAATTTATTCTTTTTAAATATTTTAATTAAATTTAGTAGAATTTATTTTTTTAGGATATAAAAACATGCTTTTGAAAATAATAGATATATATATATATATATATATATATTATTTTCAAAAGCATGTTTTTATATAATAATAAAAAACATAATTTTAAAATAAAAATATGATAAAACATCATACTTACTAAATTTAACATAATGAAACGTATAAATGCAAAGTTTCAAATTTTTATAATGTTATATTTTATTGTACTATATATAACATATATGTTATATATATATATATATATATATATATATATATGTTATATATAGTACAATAAAATATAACATTATAAAAATTTGAAACTTTGCATTTATACGTTTCATTATGTTAAATTTAGTAAGTATGATGTTTTATCATATTTTTATTTTAAAATTATGTTTTTTATTGTTCAATAATTAATTTGGAGAGATAAAGATATAAATGTAATCTTGTTTAAATGTATTAAGTTTATTTGAAGTATGTCTGCTCAAAAATAAATATAAAATTGAAGCTACTAAGCCAAGTATAAATTGTGTATTAATTTTTGCAAATTATTATCTGATCTGATATAAATTTAATTAAGATTAGACTGAATATTTTATATATTCTGCATTAAAATAAAAAAGTAATATTTTATCTCATATTGTAAATAGTGTTACTCCAAAAAATTAAATAATTTGATAAATTTCTCATGCAACAATATTTTTAGCATAATTAAAAAAATTTATTCAAATATATTTTATTCGTATTTCAGATGGCCTAATGCGAAAAAAGAATTTGAAGAATATATTAAGAAAGGAAATGATAATAAGCAATATAAAGAAAACATATGGAAGAAGGAAAACATAAACTTTAACAAAATAGGCATATATTACGTAAAACAATTAAAAAAAGTTTTGTCTCTACAATTATTTAACACATATTATGCTAAGTTATCAAAACAAAATGATTACAATATCGAAACCGATAAATTAATAAAATCCAATGATCAGTTAGATGAATGTTTCAATAAGCGTTTTGTAAAACCTATTACGTATATCGAAAATCATATAATGTTTGCATTCTTCGTTGATGAGATTAGAAACTTGTTAAAACAACTTCCAGGGTAAAATTTTCATATATGTATATTATAGTGCTATTATTTTCACAGATTAATGTACTTATTGGTTAATTAATACATTAAGACATACATTTTTTAGAGGGTCTGATCGCAATCTAATCGAAAGATATTGCGATATCAATAAGTCTCACTATATGAAACTATCTTCGGTTAAAAGTGAGTTTGGTAGATTTATAGAAAAATCTACAAAAAGAGAATTTCTTTTGGAAAAAATTTGTACTCTCATGGCACAATATTTTCAACCACGAAAAGATGTGTGTTACTGCAGTGTAAATGCATCATTGGATAAAATCGCACAAGAGGTACTGAATTGTCTCAGAGAGAAGCATCCTAACCATTCGATATTCTCCACGTCTGAGTGGAGTCCTAAAACTTTTTTCTATTGGAAAAACAACAATATCGACGATAATCACTGGGATGAAGCAGAAAGTACGCAGATTATGGATACACTCCAGGAATATATATTTGGCAAGTTGGAATTTCAACCACGCCATAGCTCCAAAATTAATAATATGTGTATAGATTATGTAAGTTATTATAGATTATAATATGTTATAATTATTGGTAATATGTATGTTTGTTATATGTTGTTCTTAATAATCTCTCAATCTGATTAATTTATTCTATATTGCAATATTTGGCATAGGTTTTAGAAAATAAACGTGGACGTAGAATCATGGTATTTATAATATATCAAAGCGTGGCTAGGAGACTTGGTCTACGTTGCGATATAATAAAAGTAGAATTTCAAATCTGTATATTTTGGAAATCAAAATAGTAAGTATAGATATATATTAGATTTGTCATTTTAATATAATATTTCGATAATTTTTCTATTCTTATTATGCACACATATACATACAAATTTTATTATAAAAATTGTATAATTATAAAGATAATAATACTTTTATTGTTTACAGCGTCACGAATAATTTAGTAAATGAACGATGTTTTTACATAGAATGCAAGAAATTTCCGAATTGTTTTGTCGACTATCTATCGCATTATACGTCTTTGGTTTCTGACTCTGGTTCAAGTCGACACGTCACTGCAATAGAAATCAAAGAGGTTGGCAATTACTCATTTATAATTTTTATTAATTTTGAGTTATTAATATATTTGTAAATTTGCAAAGAATCAATTAATTACGCTTTATGTATAATATATAGGTAGAAATAATTGTACAAGCTCTCATTTTTTAATTTTGTAATTAGTACTCTATTCACACATAATCTTTACTCAAGTTTAATCCATTTTTTCAGATATATTTCGAAATAATAACATTTTATAAAAATTATTTAGACTTTCATATTAATTATGATACAGAAGTAATCGAAATTTGGAATATGCTGCGTCATTAAATGGGATCCACTAAATGTAAGTCCCATATTCATATATGATATAGTAGTAATAAAGAACCAATGCGTGGTTGTTTTCAATTAATAATTATGCACGAATTATATTTTTTATAATTTACCACAGTCGTATAAATGAGAAAATACTTGTGTGAAATTACATGATTATGCTGGGTGCTTTTCGACCCAAAATAATGCAATATTGATATCCATATAAAATATTACAGATTATATGTAATTTTATATAAAATATATTTTTTTCAGGATTGAAGCTATTCCATAGAACTTGGAAGTACACATACGAAATGCTGGTAAAGTATAACTTCTATAAAATCGTATAAAATGTTATAATTAAAATGGATAAATACTTATAAAATAAAATTCTAATAAAGTAAAAATTATAAATTAAAATTACAAGTGCTTTCTGCATAAATTTTACCTATATTTTACATATATTTTACATTAATATATGTATTATAACTTTTAAAAATATGGAAAAAAGATTATAATGATAATCAAATATTTTTTCCGATTTTGAACAAGTAATTTTTATGTAATGTTATGTAGACCATGGATTTTCAGTGTAATTTAATTTGTTTTAAGTTCATTCAGTTATTTATTGACAATAAATCAATTAAAGTAAATAGATTTTATAGTTTTTAGTTCATACTAGATAACACAAGCGCTTTACGCGCGCTAAACGAACTTTTTCTTCGCGAGTGTACATAATTTTAATTCGCCAAATTTCAATTATGTACATAACTTTAATTATCGAATTTCTATTATATACTTAATTTTAATTTGCCTAATTTCTATTACGAACATAATTTTAATTCACCGTATTTCTTTTATGCAAATAATTTCAATTTTTCATTTTATGTACATAATTTTAATTCTTGAATTTCTATTATGCACATTATTTTAATTCACCGTATTTCTATTATGTAAATAACTCAAATTGTATCTAATAGAAATTCGGCCAATTGAAATTATGTACATAATAGAAATTCGACGAATTGAAATTATGACATAATAGAAATTCAAGAATATTTTGGTAAAAAATCTCTAATTATAAATAAAGATCGAAATCATATATTAAGGCAAAAGAATCATTTTTATTTTATTTTCTGGGCACATCACATATTATGTCAATTAAAGTAAAAAATATCTTAAACTACTCACTTTTTGATCATCTTATCCTTATAACTTTTTATGTAGTATGTGTTATTATTATATTGTGAGGAATCGATTTCCGGAAAAAAATAAAAATGATCTTTAAAACCTTCTAATCACTTTTACCCAGGAAAAATGTTAATCTTCTTTGAATATTTTTCCCTTAATGTAGTTGAACTAATAGAATTTAATAAGAAATAGATTTAACTAAAAGAATTTTGACGATTAAAATAATCAGTCAATTAATAAATAATAAATAGTTTAGGATCAAAATATGAGAAAGAGCACAATTTTCCGCGCAACCACGTTCCGCGTTCCATTTCGTCACGATGATACGATGCGAGATTATTATATTCCGGGGGCGGGTAATATATTAGCCAATTTGGTTTCACGTGATCTCGAAAATTACCCTATTAATCATTATTACCGCGAGGCGTTTTTAATTCGCAGAAAACGCACAGGAATAACCTCGGTACCCTCAGTACATCCATCACAGGAAAACACTCCGACAATGCGCTCTCGCTCTTCTGCGTAATGCACGCGATGCGTGATCACAGTGTTTACGACATTTACGGCGTTTAAACTATATAGCACTGCTCGTTCCTGGACCTCCGTGTACAAGAACGCCGTAGAATCATCGTCAAAGACTTTTAGTTTTGTTGATTTTTCGAAAGCTTTTTATATATTTTATTCTTTCTTCTAAATGATGAAAAAATATCGGCGCCAATAAAAAAACAACAGGTCGGACAATTAAAAATGACATAGCTGATATGGCTACAGTTGTGACAATTGCTCACATATGGGGGGATAAACTTTTAAAGATTTTCCTGGAACCTAGCGATATCGATTCTTATACAAGTGAAGGTGGAGGTGAAGCGAGAAAAAGAAGGGATATATAAGCAATAGATAAATTCGAACGGGTCTTGGATCTTGGGATCACTGCCGTGGGCCAGAAGACAATGCGGCATAAATCACGAACGGCAGCAGGACGCCGTGGCGATCGGTCGATACACTCCGATACACGCTCGACGAACTAATTGCCCGTTGTGTCTCAGGGAGGGCACAGAAATCGCAGTCCCGATTGCCACGGAAATCGAGGAAGGGAAGTCGTGTGATCGAGTTGATTGGGATGATCATCTTGCAAGGAGGCGCGGTCCCTCGCTCGAATCTAATGAAGAAGCTAATCGGGCACGGACGCGTAAATGATTCAACTGAAATAATTTGAAATAACTAAATATAGAGCAATATATTATACTAATCCTATATCCTAAATCCTACATACGACAAAATAATAACAACCACTTGAAAAAACTCTTTTGTCTCATTTTGTTTCTCGGCTGTTTTTGGCATACATAACTTGTCACTTTGCAAAGTCAATTTAGTTGCGAAACATATTATAATTTGTGATTTGATATATTCTTATAATTGTATTCTTTTAATTATATTCTTTTAACAAAAAATCTTCTGTCTGTATTCGTAGCTCGTTGTCGCGGGGCATGATTTGACCTTCATATTCGTACTTTCTTTTTCGTGGCTCGATGGCCAGAGGTGTACGTTTTCTCTACGATGAATCCCGCTTCGTAGAGGTACATCTCCGCGAAGCATATCGAGCGGGAGTCGAGAGAAGCGACAGTAATGACACTTGATGCTCTGGAAGAGCGCGTCTCGACGGACGCGTGACCCGGAAACCGACCCGCGGCCATTTTTCGATCCAAGTGAAGTGGACGACCGCCTCGTCTGTCCATCCCGGCCACCTCGTTCTCGCATCTCTCTTATGATTCTTCTCTCTTTCTCCTCAATTTCTCACTTCGTGTTGGTAGACACATACAGACACGCGAGAAGAGCGAGATTAGAGAGAGAAAGACGATGATCTTGGCTCCAACTGTCCTGGACCTATGGACTCTACGGTCTCTCGAGGTCAACCCGCTTTGGGGCATCGTGCTAACCGCACCGATGGATCCTTCTACCCGGAAACAGTTTCTATCGAGTTCTCGCGGTCGATCCTAGGGTAAGGCACGGCTACCTCGCGATGCCTCTTCTTCGTTTCCGGTTACTATCATTCATAGGGGTTTTACGATCTCGTCGCTCGCAGGCGCGTCACATCTCGTATCAGTTAGTATTGTTAAGCGAAAGGAAAATCCTGAAAAGAAGCCGTTGTTAAGACTAGTTCAAACTACTATTATTGAGTGTTCCCGATAGCGGATTTGATTGATCATTGGTGTTGAATTTAAAAAAAAATTTGATACTTTATACATATATTTGTCGTGTTAAGATTATGCTGTAACTTATTCTATTTTACGGACAAAATTTTAATTTGTAATTTTACGTTTATTTTTTATTGCTTTGATAAAATTAAAAATCCTTTCCAGGGATTAAAGTACATATATGTCTGTTAATAAAGGCATGGATCATCTTTGATTAAAAAAAAAAAGAAAACATTTCAAAAATTTATCGACAAAGCTGTCAATTGATATAAATATTTATTTTATATTAAAGTTATATAGTTTACAAGAGTACAAAATAAGCCTAGGAGGCCAAGGAGAGCATGTGAAAGAATGACAGAAAACCTTTAAAATTGAGTTAGAAGTTTAGCTTTAAAAAATAACAAAAAGTCAGATTTATGTAAAATATATACAGTATTGAAGTAATAACATAAAAAAAGAGCAATAAATATAAGTTTCTGAAGATTGTACATAACATTTTTAGTATATATGTATGTATATAAAAATAATAAAGAATAAAAATAAAATTACAAGCAACATTTTGTCCATAAAATTTTTACAGACAGAGTCAGCTTCAGTATCATCTTAATACATTCGATAATTTACGAAAAGATATATTACTGTCATCTAAAAATGCGCGTTCAACTACTAAACGTGAAAATATAATTATCGCCAATGAATTCTTCATTCTTTATTATTATTTTTATGAATCACGTGATCAGGAATTACATGCTTTTGTCGATAATCTCGTTACGCTAAGTCGATCCGATAAGAACCGTGAACTCTTAAACAGTTAAATGGTTGCACGGAGAGAAGCATTTCGCACATCGATTCCGAGAAGCGCCAGCATGAGAACAACGATCGAACGGATCGGGCGGCTACGCGGAATCCTCAAGGATCTCTGGGATCGTCTCCGATGACCGATCAAGGGTCACGTCATTCCGTGAAGATCGAAGAGATGTCATTCGCCAGTCCGTTATTTCTGAATACACGGTTCTTCATGATCCACTACGAGTACCACCTGTAGAAATCGCAGATCCCGCAAGCTCTTCTTAACCTTTTCAAATCCGATTCTAGTCATCACGATCTGCGACCGTTATTATGCTAAGAGATATATATATATATATATATATATATATATATATATATATATATATTATTCTCTATAGATAGATAGATATATAAATGACTGAAAATTTTTACGCGAGAAACAAACAATATTCATCAAGAGTACCAATATATATATAGTTTATAAGAAATACTGGTAGCCTCTTATCAACTTTTCCCATGATTGTGTGTCGACGAAAGATACTAGATAAACAAAGTACTGCAATCATCCGCCATTTTGATATCAACACGCGGGTCGTTCAAATTAAATATTTCATAATGAATGTATTTTGAGAATAAAAGAAAGTGCAGTTTTCAGGCTAGAAAACTACACTTTCTTTTATTCTCAAATACATTCATTGAAATATTTAATTTGAACAACCCGCGTGTTGATATCAAAATGGCGGATGATTGCAGTACTTTGTTTATCTAGTATTGTTAAGCAAAAGGAAAATCCTGAAAAGTCAGAAGCCGTTGTTAAGACTAGTTCAAACTACTATTATTGAGTGTTCCCGATAGCGGATTTGATTGATCATTGGTGTTGAATTTAAAAAAATATTTGATACTTTATACATATATTTGTCGTGTTAAGATTATGCTGTAACTTATTCTATTTTACGGACAAAATGATAATTTGTAATTTTATGTTTATTTTTTCAGGCTAGAAAACTGCACTTAATGTGTACGTATATTTTGACGCCAAATCTTATACATTGAGACTTATAAATTGTGGTACTTTGTTTATCTAGTGATTTTAGTGTTGACCATAGAAAAAATATCAAAATACCGGTGCATATCAGAGCTTATTTCGCTACAAATTTGCGCAACAAGATTTTACTTTTCAGTCG